CTAGATTCAAACCAGGAATTTCTTACTATGAGCAATGGTGCTAACCACAACTGGTGAAACATCAAGTTCAAAGTAAATAAGAGGTGACTGATCTTTCGTAAAATTGTTCTCAAAGACACACAATGTGCTGGAAGATTAAAAACAACTTATTTTGTGATGGACCTAGCTGACTTAAAATGAAATTATTTTATTATGCAGTACTTATCCCAAAACCTAAGTTACAAAACTAAATGAAATTTACTGTAATCGATTCCATCAAGTTTGTACTTGATGAAAGCTGTTAATGGTTTATGCTCTTATTTAGAAAATCTGAGTAAATGGTTAACTTATTCAGATACAGCAAGCTATTTGTGAGTAAGCATGCTACTAGTTTTTATGAATCCTCACTTCATACTGTAATTCATAGTTCATTTATGCAGTTTGTAGTTAATTCAGGATTTAGTGTGACCTCATTTATGCCTTAAAAAGTCTTAAAAAATGAAATAGAAAGGCCAGCACTAACAGTCAGCTGTTGTCACAACAAGAAAAGAAACAGACAAAGCACAAAGTGACACAGAAAGATTCAGTATTATGCAAACACATTCACCTGGAGTGCACCAAAAATATTCTGCACTTTGTTGTTCACCCCACTGTAAATAAGCGCAGTGCTGGCATTCAAAGGTCCTGCGTTTGGGTCCTGTATCAGGATTCCTGACACTGAGTTTGTAAAGGGTTTAAGACAGAAAGAGACAGACTGAGCAGTTGCAGTCACTGAGGACTTTAACTTAAATATAGTGAAACGTCTTCATTTAAAATATAACAAGAATAACGTTATCACAAAACAATAGTGAGTATTTCACAGAGGTTCACAAACCAGTGTAAAGATCACAAACGATAATGTCTGGAAATGCCTGTGGGATGTTTAAGAGTTTAGCATTTCTTTAGTCCGTCCTGCAGTTCAACTTTCCTCTGATTTGTTGTCAGTTGATTGAAGTCAGTTAGCTAGCTTTAGTCAGACAAGTCAATCAAGTCAGGCTCAGTTCCAAAGTGTACCTGAATTAAACAAATCAGATAAGTTGTTTTGTGCTGTGCTTTTAAAAAGGTGAACTCACCTGAAAAAAGGAAGAAAATTGTGTGTGATTTTAAAGGGAATATTTAGATAAGTAATGGTCCAATAATAACAAAATACATAAAATGACTCTTGTTATTTTAATGTGGTACTACCAAAGTTAAAACTGAATTATGTGATTTATTTTCTTTTGATGTTGCATGTATTTAATTAAATCCATTTTCAGAGCACTTGTGTTGCACAATAACAGACCAGCATCACACTAGCATTAGTTTGCAACAGGAAAACCGTGGACATTGTATTTATTAATGTAAAGTTACTTCTCATATATACAAATTATTTACAGTGTGGTGGAAATCAGAGAAACCAAGCATACTTCAGTTATCATTTGAATGTTTTATTAAAACTTCTGCATAATCCTCCTGAACAGACATAAAATCTATTTATGCAGGCTGATAGAAAAAAACTGTAATCACAAAGCAAACAGGTTCAAACATGCGCCACATACAGTAAATAGTTAAAGATACAAAGAGCTCACACAACAAAATAGCATTTTAGAATTTTCTGTGCAGATTTCTGTATTTCTATGAGAGCGGCCACAAAGCAAAACAAGAAAGAGTGAAGAAAACAGGACATGAGTTTTAAAAACACTAAATACGAAGATGTGTTGTCTTGTTGTTGTTCCAAACCAAATTTCATGTCTGAAGACGTACTGGACTTACTTTCACATATTCATCATTTAAATGTTTTTCTTTTCCACTTTTAATATCCAGACAGATGCGGAGTCTGAGCATGACAATATTAAATATCAATCCAAAGTGAAGATGGATTTTATTTTTCTAATTGAATTCTCTTGTTATTGAAGGTAAGTCAATATTCATATTTCTGCTTGCTTTTAGTCATTCATTCATCGTTAACATTTTATTTCAATCTGCCACCATATTACACTAGAACACACAAACTTAACATGTGTGATTTTAAAGAGAATATTTAGATTGTCTTATTATATGGAGGAATGGTTCAATCATAACATAAAACATGGACATGAAAATTGTGATTTTAATGTTGTACTGTTAAAGTTCAAACAGACATTTGGGCTTGATTTTCATTTTATGTTGGATGGATTTAATTGATTCAATTTTTAGAGCTCGCTTGTCTCCAGTGTTAAATTAACACTAGAGAGTGTCTATATGGGTCCACACCTCTGAGTGTTAAATAAAACACTGTTGAGTGTTAAATTAACACTTTTGACAGGGTTATATGTTTACAGTTTTTCTCAGTCGCTTTGGTGCGTTTCTCAGAACACCATTAACATTTGCACAGCAGTTAGTGCATTTCCCAAAACAATTAGTGCAAACTGCAAAACCTAGTGGATAGCCTGCAAAAGCACGTCACATGCACAGAATTGATTATCCATACCTCAAAAGCAAGTATCCATGTCAATGAAACTGTCAGTGCCATCAAAATGAAAAGTCTTGACACCATCTTTATGAACAAGATAGTCAAATGGCATTGTCATGTTTCCACTATGACAGTTTATAATTTCAGTGTTTCCCATTGCAAAAACAATTGGTGACACCTGAAAATGCTGACGACAGCACTATGGCCTACCTGTACAGCCATCTGAAATGTGCAGTAAAGTCACTGTAGATGTTATGGGAGTCTTGGGAGTAACTGAGACACTGAATACGTACGTTTCACATTTCCATTGTGTAGAAGTGTTTGTAATCCTACAGAATTGTGCAAAAGAAAAATATGCTACAGTCACTTGTTCACTGTAGAATACATGTAAACATAAAATCACCCATTTGGTAGAGCCTCCTCATGAGTGACAGCTGTAATTCACCTGAGATCAATTGTTCAATTTCGGAGACATTTCCAGGAACAAATGATACAGAAAGGTATAGGATTTGCTTGACAGATGGCCAATATTTGGCATGTGATAACTAGTTCAACAATTTTGTGTGTGATGACTTAAGCAATGGATGTATGACTATTAGTTTTATTGGGAACGACTATTCAGCATCCATAGGTATGATTACTTTTGACTGACATGACATAAGCAAATGGAAATGTCAGAAAGCAGCAGGGAAATGTATGGAAGCAACTGATTCATGTCCAAAATCATTTGCAGTTTGTTCAGAGAGAGGAGAAATTGCTACTATGATGTGCACAAATGACTGAGTGTTGTGGAGGTTGAACTAATAGTTATGAGAATTTCAATTCTGATCTGAGAAACGCACCAAAGCGATGGAGAAAAACTGTAAAAGTAACCTAGTCAGTTTTGAAGATTAACAATGGCTAACACTGAGCAGTGCTGATTTTCTAACACTGGAAAATAACTCAAAATGTTAGAAATATTCCAGTGTTAGAAAATCAGCACTGCTCAGTGTTAGCCATTGTTAATCTTCAAAACTGACTAGGTTACTTTTACACATATAACACTGTCAAAAGTGTTAATTTAACACTGGAGATTTTGCTGTGTAGCACAATAGCAGACTGAAAATCACACTAGACTAGTTTTGTCATGGTCCTGGGTCGTGCGACCCGGTGTTTTGTGTTTAGTCTATTTTGATGTTTATTGATTGTTTAGGTTCATTAAGGTAGTCCAGCCATTTGTATATATCACCCTTGCATTACGTCTCCCTTGCCCTTCGTGTGTTTATGTCTGTGCGTCTTGTACTGTCAAGTTCATGCTGTCAGTATTGACACGTCTCCCCGGTTCATGTCTCATGTTTCCTGTTTTACTTTGAAGGCCTGCATTCACTGTATGTGTATTCAGTTTCACTCCTCCTGTCCTGTCGTTAAGTTCATGTGTGTCAGCTGCGTTCCCATGTGTGGCCACTTCCCCTGATCATCCCTCATGTGTATTTAGTCTCTGTGTTTCTTACAGTCTGTGTCGCGTCGTCTGTGTTCCCACCCTCCGTGTTTCCATGCCGGTCTGTTGTATTCTAAGTCATAGCCTTACTTTAGTTCATTCCCAGTTTAGGTTTCTGTTTAGTTATTGCTTTTGTGCTGCCCTTATTCTTGTTTGTTTCTCTTGTGTTACCAGCCACAATAAAAGGCTCGCCTTCTGTTAAAGCTCACTCCCGTCTGCTCACTTGTGTACGCACCTGGGTCCATTACACGCATTCTCCACTCGGTCCGTCACAGCGGACCGTGACAAGTTTGCGACGACACTGGATTTATTAATGTAAAAGTACACCTCATATATACAAATTATTTACAATCTGTGGTGGAAATCTGAGAAGGCAAACATACTTCAGATATCATATGAGTGTTTTATTAAAGCTTCTACTTAATCCTCATGAATAAACATAAAAAATAATTCAAGCAAGCTGACGGAGTAAAAGTGCAATCACAAAGCAAACAGGTTCAAACAGGTGCCACATAGTTATAACACCTGTTTCTGTGCAGATTTCTGTATTTCTATTACAGTTGTCACAAAGCAAAA